ATAAATTATTCCATTTTGAATTTGTGGATCAAATGTTTGTTCATTAATTTTTTGGAATGATTGATCTTTCTGTTGAAAAATTGGAGTTACAATTAATTTAGGAGAATTAGTTTTTTGATCATCAAATTTTTTAATTGATTTCAATTTTTTATTTTTTTGTTCATTTTCAACTAAATTTTAAATAAATTTTAAATAAATTTTAAATTAAATTATTTTTGGATTAAATTATTTTTGATTTGAATTATTTTTAAATTGAATTTTTGATTTGAATTATTTTTGATTTGAATTATTTTTGATTTGAATTTTTACCAATTGATCGAATAAGTTCAACAAATTCTTCAGGATCATCAATAGTCAAATTATATTTAGAAGTAATATTTTTAACAAAAGAAGGATAATCTTGTTTTTCCAAATTAAAAGATTCATTAATAGTACTTTGTTTTCCATTAATAAAAACAGGAATATCAATATCAATTTCTTTTTGTGATTGAATTTCATTTGGATCTAAATAAAAAATAGCACTATTTGCATGAAGTGGTTTTTCTAATTTAGAATCAATGTTTTCTTCATTTTCATTTGATGTTTCATTTGGAATACTTGGTGTTGAAGCTTTTTCAAAAAATGGATGTTGTAAAAGCTGTTCTGCACTTGGTCTATTTAATTCTGGAAGAATACATAAATTAATAATTTCAAGAATTTCAGGATCTTTAACTTTTTCAATTGAAAGAGGTTTTTTTCCCTTTTTTAATTTAATTTTTTCATTTGAATTTTTAAATTAAATTTTTAAATTAAATTTTTGGATTAGATTTTTGGATTAGATTTTTGGATTAAATTTTTAAATTAAATTTTTTCATTTTGGATTAAATTTTTTGGATTAAATTTTTTAGATTCGATTTTTTAGATTCGATTTTTTACTGAAAGAACTTTTCTGAATATTTGTGCTGCATTTTCACATTCAAAATATGGATAATCACCTGTTGCCATTTCTAAAATACACATTCCAAATGCATAAATATCAACTTTTTCTGTATAATGTTCATCATAAAGTTCTGGAGCCATAAAATTTGGTGTTCCTTTTTAATTTTAATTTTAATTTTAATTTTAAATTTAATTTTAATTTTAATTTTAATTTTAATTTTAATTTTAATTTTAATTTTAATAAATTTTAATTTTAGTTTTAATTTTAAATTTAATTTTAATTTAATTTTAATTTTAATTTTAATTTTAATTTTAATTTTAATTTTAATTTTAATTTTAATTTTAATTTTAATTTTAATTTAAATTTTAATTTTAATTTTAATTTTAATTTTAATTTTAATTTTAATTTTAATTTTAATTTTGATTTTAATTTTAATTTTAATTTTAATTTTAATTTTAAATTTAATTTTAATTTTTAATTTTAATTTTAATTTTAATTTTAATTTTAATTTTAATTTTAATTTTAATTTTAATTTTAATTTTAATTTTAATTTTTAATTTTAATTTTAATTTTAATTTTAAATTTTGATTTTGATAAATTAAATTTGAATAGATTAGCAACAAAATAAATAAGTAAATAATAGAATAATAAGTACCAATAACACTTTTAACATGATCAGCAAGTTTCAAAGTAGATTCACCTAAATCACCAATTTTGATTTTTCCTTTACTTCCATCAAAAAAAATATTATCACATTTAATATCACGATGAATTATTGGAGGATCTCTTGAATGTAAATAATATATTCCTTCTAAAATTTGACGACTAAAATTACGAATAGCTTTTGTACTTAAACTCTTCACTTTATCAATATAATTTCTAAGACTTCCTGATGGCATGATTTGTGTAATAAATACTAATATTCTGTTTTCTGAATCAAGCCAAGTGTCAATTAGTTTAATTATTGCTTTGTGTTCTACTCCGTGAAGTAGTTTGATTTCCCGAAATAATTTTTCAGCATCCATTTGTGTTAAATGATCTAATTTTACTTGATTCCAAGCTACTTCACATCCCATTTCAGTATCAATTGCGTAATATACTGTTTTTATTGCTCCTCTTCCAAGTAATTTTGAATACTGTTATTTATTTTAATATTTAATTTTAATATTTATTTTAATATTTATTTTAATATTTAATTTAATATTTAATTTAATATTTATTTTAATATTTATTTTAATATTTAATTTAATATTTAATTTAATATTTATTTTAATATTTATTTTAATATTTATTTTAATATTTATTTTAATATTTATTTTAATATTTGATTTAATATTTAATATAATATTTATTTTAATATTTATTTTAATATTTATTTTAATATTTATTTCAATATTTATTTTAATATTTATTTTAATATTTATTTTGGATATTTATTTTAATATTTATTTTAATATTTATTTTAATATTTATTTTAATATTTATTATTTATTTTAATATTTATTTTAATATTTATTAATTTATTTTAATATTTATTTTAATATTTATTTTAATATTTATTTTAATATTTATTTTAATATTTATTTTTATTTATTTTTATTTATTTATTTTAATATTTATTTTAATATTTATTTTTAATATTTATTTTAATATTTGATTTAATATTTATTTTAATATTTAATTTAATATTTATTTTAATATTTTTTATTTTTTAATTTATTTATTTTAATATTTATTTAATTTAATATTTATTTTAATATTTAATTTTAATATTTATTTTAATATTTATTTAATTTTAATATTTATTTCAATATTTATTTTAAATATTTATTTTGGATATTTATTTTAATATTTATTTAAATATTTATTTTAATATTTATTTTAATTTTTAATATTTAATTTAATATTTTATTTATTTATTTTATTTTAATTTATTTTTTATTTTAATATTTTATTTTAATATTTTTAATTTTAATATTTATTTTAATATTTATTTTAATATTTAATTTATTTTAATATTTATTTTAATATTTAATTTAATATTTATTTTTAATATTTATTTTAATATTTATTTTTAATATTTAAATTTTTTTAATATTTATTTTTAATATTTATTTTAATATTTAATTTTAATATTTATTTTAATATTTATTTTAATTTAATATTTATTTTAATATTTATTTTAATATTTATTTTAATATTTTTATTAAATTTATTTTTTTAATATTTATTTTAATATTTAATTTAATATTTATTTTAATATTTATTTTTAGTATATTTATTTTAATTTTAATATTTATTTTTTATTTAATATTTATTTTTAATATTTATTTTTAATATTTATTTTAATATTTATTTTAATATTTATTTTAATATTTATTTTAATATTTATTTCAATATTTATTTTAATATTTATTTTAATATTTATTTTAAATTTATTTTTAATATTTTTTTAATATTTATTTTAATATTTATTTTAATATTTATTTTAATATTTATTTTAATATTTATTTTAATATTTATTTTAATATTTATTTTAATATTTAATTTAATATTTAATATTTGGTTCTTTATTTTTAATATTTATTTTAATATTTATTTTTAATATTTAATTTTAATATTTATTTTTATTTATTTTTAATATTTATTTTAATATTTATTTTAAATATTTTTATTTTAATTTATTTTATTTTTATTTATTTATTTTAATATTTATTTTAATATTTATTTTAATATTTAATTTTAATATTTATTTTAATTTATTTTTTTAATTTTATTTTAATATTTTATTTATTTTAATTTTATTTTTTTAATATTTATTTTAATATTTATTTTTAATATTTATTTTAATATTTATTTTTAATATTTTTTTAATATTTATTTTAATATTTAATTTTATTTATTTTTTTAATATTTATTTTAATATTTATTTTAATATTTAATTTATTTTTTAATATTTATTTTAATATTTAATTTATTTTAATATATTTTAATATTTATTTTTTTTAAATTTATTTTTAATATTTTTTTAATGTTTTATTTAATATTTATTTTTAATATTTATTTTTAATTTTATTTTTATTCAATATTTATTTTAATATTCATTTTAATATTTATTTTATTATTTATTTTGGATATTTATTTTAATATTTATTTTAATATTTATTTTTATTTATTTTAATATATTTATTTTAATAATTTTATTTTTTTTTAATATTTATTTTAAGATATTTAATTTTAATATTTATTTTTAATATTTATTTAATATTTTTTTAATATTTTATTTTAATTTTATATTTAATATTTATTTTAATTTTTATTTTATTTAATATTATATTTAATATTTATTTTAATATTTAATTTAATATTTATTTTAATATTTAATTTGATTTAATATTTGATTTTTAATATTTATTTTAATATTTATTTAATATTTAAATATTTAATTTTAATATTTAATTTAATATTTAATATTTAATTTTATTTAATTTAATATTTATTTTTTAATATTTATTTTTAATATTTATTTTTATTTTAATATTTATTTTAATTTAATATTTATTTATTTTAATATTTGATTTAATATTTGATTTAATATTTATTTTAATATTTAATTTAATATTTAATTTTAATATTTATTACAATATATTTAATATAAATATTTATTTTAATATTTATTTTAATATTTAATTTAATATTTATTCGTTAATGTTCTTTTTTTAATTTGTTTTTTAATTGATGAAAAATAGAATTATTTATCAATTAAATAATCTATTTTTGTGTTCAGTTTTGTTTTTAAAAATAAATAAAGAGAAAAAATTTTTTTTTAAATAAAAGTTTCTTGTTTAAAATTAATTAAAAATTAAATTGAGAAAAAATTTCCTTAATTTAAAAAAAAAAAGGAATTATAATTGGATTCTTCTTTTGTTTTATTTTGTTTACTCTTGTATATTTCCCATGTTTCTCTACTTGCACAAATTTATCTGATTGAAACATATTATCCAAAATAAAAATAAAAAGGAAAAATGAAAAGAAAAAAAAAAAATATTTAATTAAAAAAAAGAATAAAAAAAAAATTAAATGACAGCAGTGGGATTTGAACCCACGCGGACTTCATGTCCATTAGAGCTTAAATCTAACGCCTTAGACCACTCGGCCATACTGTCTTAATTTAAATTTTTTAATTTAAAATTTCTTTTTTTCTTATTTTTTTTTATTCAAAATTTACCTCTTTTATATATTAATTTTAAAATAATTTTTTTTTATTTTTATTTAAAACATTTACTTAAATTATAAATAGATTTAAAATATATTTAAATAATAATTAATAAATAAATTTATTTCAAAATAAAAAATGGAATAAAAATTAAAAATAAAAAAATTTAAATTATAATAAAATAAAATTAAAAATAAAATATATTTAAATAAAAATAAAATAATTTAAATTAATTAAATTTATTTCAAAATAAAAATTAAATAAAATTATAAATATAAAAAAAAATATAAATTTAAATTAATAATTAATTAATAAATTTATTCCAAAAATAAAAAAAGTGGAATAAAATTATAAATTAAATTATAAATAAAAATTAAATATATTTAAATAATAATTAATAAATTTATTCAAAATAAATTTAAATTCCAAAATAAAAATTAAAAATAAAATTATAAATAAAAATAAAATAAAATTTAAATAAAAATAAAATATATTTAAATAATAATAATTAATAAATAAATTTATTCAAAAATAAAAAAATAAAAAAATAAAATAAAAATTTTAAATAATAATTAATAAATTTATTCCAAAATAAAATTAAATAAAATTATAAATAAAAATAAAATATATTTAAAAATTATAATTAATAAAAATAAATTTATTTCAAAATAAAAAGTGGAATAAAAAAATAAATAAAAATAAAATAATTTAAAATAATTAATAAAATTTATTCCAAAATAAAAATTAAAATAAAATTATTTAAAAATAAAATATATTTAAATTTAATTAATAAATTTATTTTCAAAATAAAAAAAATTTAAAATTAAATTATAAATAAAATAAAAATATATTTTAAATTTAATTAATTAAAAAATTTATTCCAAAATAAAAATTAAATAAAATTATAAATAAAAATAAAATATATTTAAATTATAATTAATAAATAAATTTATTCCAAAATAAAAAGTGGAATAAAAATTAAATAAAATTATAAATAAAAATAAAATATATTTAAATTATAATTAATAAATAAATTTATTCAAAATAAAAAGTGGAATAAAATTTAAATAAAAATTATAAATAAAAAAATTAAAAATAAATTTATTTAAATTATAATTAATAAAAATAAATTTATTCCAAAATCCAAAAAAAAGTGGAATAAAAATTAAATAAAATTATAAATAAAATAATTTTAAATTTAAAAATAAAATAGATTTAAATAATAATTAATTAAATAAATTTATCCAAAATAAAAAGTGGAATAAAAATTAAATTAAATTATAAATAAAATTAAAATAGATTTAAATAATAATAAATAAATAAATTTATTCCAAAATAAAAATAAAAAAAAAGGAAAAAAATGAAAAGAAAAAAAAAATATTTAATTAAAAAAAAAAAAAGAATAAAAAAAATTAAATGACAGCAGTGGGATTTGAACCCACGCGGACTTCATGTCCATTAGAGCTTAAATCTAACGCCTTAGACCACTCGGCCATACTGTCTTAATTTAAATTTTTTAATTTAAATTTTCTTTTTTTCTTATTTTTTTTTATTCAAAATTTACCTCTTTTATATATTAATTTTAAAATAATTAAATACGTCATCTTATTAAAAAAATAATAAATAAAAAAAAATTTTTTTTAAATTTTTTTTTTCATTTTTTTTTCTATTTTTTCTATTTTTATTATTATTATTATTATTAAAAAATTAATAAGAAAAATAAATGGATAAAAAACAACAAGAAGAAGAAGAAAAAGATTCAAAAGAAAAACAAGAAAATTTAAATAAAGAAAAAGAAAAACAAGAAGATTTAAGCGAACAATCTACACCCAAAAAAGTAACCTTTCTATTACCAATACCACAAGGAGAAGAATCAGAAAGATATGAAATGCTTCAACGTTCGCAAGACTTTGAACTAATTTATATCAGTTCAACATCTGAGTCTGAGATGAGTGGAAATGAAATAGCATTTGGAGAAGAAAAAAAACAAGAAAAAGTAATAAAATCTCCACAATCCGACTCGATCCATAAACGCTATCAAATCCCAAACAATGAGAACTCAAAGAAATATCGGCGATGGTTAAATAATCAGTATCTTAGTTCGGATCCTGAAAGTGATTATGATGAAAAACATAATTTGGAATATAATGATTTAGTTGAAAATTCTTCACTTTTTCAATTCGTTTTTGATAATGATAATCTTCAAAAAATTCAAAAGTTTCTTTGCGTTTCTTTTGATGAACAAATGGATTTTTTGGATAGTTTTAAACAAGAAAGACAAAATGAAAGAAAACTTAGAAGAGAAAAAAGAAAAAAAATGAAAGAAAAAAAAACAAATGAAAATTTAAATGAAAATGAAAATTTAAATGAAAATGAAAATGAAAATGAAAATGAAAATGAAAATGAAAATGAAAATGAAAATGAAAATGAAAATGAAAATGAAAATTTAAATCAAAATGAAAATGAAAATCAAAATCAAAATCAAAATCAAAATCAAAATCAAAAACAAAATGAAAATCAAAATAAAAATAAAAATTAGTAAAAATTAAAAGGTAAAATTCTATTTTGTAATTTCATTAAATTCATTTAGAATTATAAAATTTAAAACTATCTTCTCAAAAAAAAAACCATAATTTAAAAAATATTTTTTTAAATCATCAAAAAAAATTTTGAATAAAAAAATATTTTTTTTTCTGATTTAATTTTTTCATTTTTTTCCTTTTTTAAAAAACCAGAAAAAAAAAATGAATAATAATAATCAAAATCAAAATCAAAATTAAAATCAAAATCAAAATTAAAATCAAAATCAAAATCAAAATCAAAATCAAAATCAAAATCAAAAACAAAATCAAAATCAAAATCAAAATCAAAATCAAAATCAAAATCAAAATCAAAATCAAAATCAAAATCAAAATCAAAATCAAAATCAAATGAAAATCAAAATCAAAATCAAAATCAAATGAAAAATCAAATGAAAAATCAAATGAAAAATCAAAATCAAATGAAAAATCAAAATCAAATGAAAAATCAAAATCTAAATGAAAATCAAAATCAAATTGAAAATGAAATGAAAAATTTAGAAAAAAAAGTAACAAAAAATTTAATTGAAGATTATTCAAACCTTTTAAATATAAATTTATTTAAAGATTTTTCAATTTTTGTTGATAATGAATCAAATCCTTTTGAATTTAAAGTTCATAAATCAATTTTATCTTCAAGATCTTCTTTTTTTAATAAGTTTTTAAGAGAAGAAAATCATCGTGATAAAATTTTTTTAAACCAATTTAATAAAAAAGAAATGGAATCAATTTTGAGTTATATTTATTATGGAAATGTTTCTTTTGAGAATCAAGAAAACCTTTTTGAATTATTGGAAATTTCAATTCATTTTAAATTAAATTTATTGAAAGAAATTATTCAAAAAAAAATTTCAAATTCAATTAATTATTCAAATTTTTTCCAATTTTTTTTCCAAAATCGAGACTTAAAATTAAATGAAATTGAAATAAAATGTTTTGAATTAATAAATCAAAATTTTTCCCAAATTAAGAAAAATGAAAATTTATTCAATTTAACTGAAGAAGAAATTATCAAATTTATTCAATTTAAACAAGAAAAAAAAGAAATTTTTGAATTTGATTTTTTTCAATTTTTAAGTAAATGGATTAAAAAAAGAAATGAGAAATTAAAAGGAAAGAAAGAACAAGAAAAAGAAAAGGGAATTGAAAAGAAAAGATTATCTCATTCTTTTTTTTCATTGATTGAAAAAGATTCAATTTCAAAACAAGATTTTGATAAATTAAAAGAATTCGATTTTTTTCCAAATTCTTTTTTAGTTAATCTTGAAAGAACTTCATCTCAAATTCAAGAACAAGAAAATGAAAAGATCAAAAAAGAGAACAAAACTTTCGAAAATACAATTAAAAGAAGAGATAAAAAAATCAAATTAAAAAAGAATGAAATTGAAGATAAAAAGAAAGAAATAAAAAAGAAAAATCAAGAAATAAAAAAGAAAAACAAAGAAATCCAATCAAAAAATAAAATAATCCAATCAAAAGATGAAATAATCCAATCAAAAGATGAAATAATCAAAAATTTGGAATCACAAATTATAAAAAACAAAGCAAAAGAAAAAACATTAAAGGAATTACATGATAAATTAAAGGAGATCTTTAAAAATTCCGAAATTATTGAAGAAGTTGAATATATGAAGAAATTAAAAAAATGGATAAATGATAATGATTTTTTTTCCAAAATGAAAAAAGGATTTTCAGCAAAAAGATGGATTTTCTTCTACAAAATGGCATGAAACAGTTGATGGGAAAGGAAAAACATTAGTTATTATCAAAACAACAGATAATTATATTTTTGGAGGATTTACTCAAATTGGATTTAAATCCAATCAATCTGTAAATTTAGCAAAAATTCGTGATCCAAATGCATTTATTTTTTCATTAAGAAAAGATGATGATGATAGAATACCTGAAAAATTTACAATCAAAAAAGGAAAAGAAGATTTCGCTATTTTTTCTAATTCAACTTTTGGTCCAAGTTTTGGAGAATGGTTTAGAAATGTTTATCCAGATTTTTATTTATCTTCTGATTTTCGATCTGGTTATTCAAATTTTGGTCATAGTTATAATCTGCCTATTGAAATTGAATATGGTTCAAATCAAGCTAAAAGTTATTTAGCTGGTTCTCCTGATAAATGGGTTATTGATGAACTTGAGACTTATTTCATTTAAAAACTTTTTTCTTTCCTTTTTTTCAAAATTCAATTTTGTTTTCATTTACTTTCAATCAAATTAAATTCTTCGAATCAATAAATAAGAAACTAATCCAATTTTAAAAAATTTAATTTTAATTTAAAAATATTTTTATCAATTTTATTAAATTTTTTAGAATAATTTTATACTATTTTAAATAAAGAAATATTGATAAAATATAAAA